TATGGATTTATCTGATCTAACCTGCGTATTTTCTTTTTTTAAATACACTTAGAAAAATGTGGAAATGGGCAGAGCCATCTTGACGAACACAAAGAACAATTCAGAGCACAGTTTATCTTTATGTCCAATAAAATGACATTCTTCAGCTTGGACACAGTAGCTTATTGTCAGAATCTTGCTTAACTAAAAGGCAATCAATATTTTTATTTATTCATGTTTAAATAACTAACTTGAAAGCATGGCTAATAAGACCTCTTGGAAAACAATTTAAGTTGAAAAACTTACACTATGTTGAGTGTGCATCACAGCCGATTTTGACACTAAAAACTGGACAAATGTACTTGCAAGTCTACAAGTTATACTTTTCTTCTTATGCTGTTTCACTTTCTGTGCTTTGATGCTCCGAAACAGGTCGTGGCTGTCTTTACACTTTTATTTTGAAGGCGGCAGCAACAAACTTCCTTATCTTATCTATGTTTTGTGTGTTTAGTGTTGCAACTTGCTTAACAGAAGCAGGAGGTCGAGACCCTCATTTGGGGGAAGGGTGGGAGCGAATAGCAGAGTTCTCCCCCATCCCTCCCCCTCCAGCCCTTGTCTGCAGCAACTTTCCACGGGTCTCACCTCTGAAAAGACTCATTCAGTGTCTTTGATTCAGTGTGGCTTTAAGTGACAAATCATCCTTAGTGATGTGGTTGCAACTGACAACCCTGAACTTCAATTGCATTTTCATTAAGGGACATAAAAGGTCACTTATCTGATGTATATAACAACATCAGAGCTGCTGGTTGTTTAATATTTAAGTCTTGATTTGAATTTTCAAATTAAAAGTGCAGGACTACAATATTGAGTGCTAAGGCAAGCCCCAACATGCCTTTGCCTGCATGCAACAAAGTGACAAATGAGAGCTGTGTACACAAGAAAGCAGCTTTTTTGTGTGTTTGAATTTTGTAATTTTCTTATTCAGACATGTAATAAACAAGTTCACACATTTTAAAACAAATGAGCATGGCAACAAAAAAAAAAAAAATCAAAAAACTATATCAATAAGTGACACTAACACATTTAAAGTGTTCCATTGTTGCCACAAGGAGCAAATGTTCATCAGAGCAGCTCTCCCCGGGCTCACACGCCTAGTCCCAGCTAGAGTAGCGAACCTAAGAGGAGACACTCCCGACACACTGAAACAAATACTAACAAACTAAGAGACATAACCTTTCCCACAATATACCAAGACCTTAGTATCATCATGCCATGACAGTTCTCAGAATGCGCTCTAAAATAGTGAGTAAAAATCTCAACAATAACACTGGTATGATGGATAATACAACCACATCAAAACATTGTAGTACAATAGTTTAGAAATATCTATTTCATCTGTTTAATTATTCTACATGTTTTATAAGTTATTGTGTGTAGTTAGGTTGATCTATAGTTGTTCTGCTGGGAGTTTTGAATACTCTAAAGCTCTGCCTTTTTTTCCCCTCTTTTCTTTTTTTTCCTTTTTTGCTACGTCAGTTAAATAAAGTCCATCACACTGCAAGACATCACTCATACAGCTTGTAAAAGTGCAAGTCCACAACTCATTTTCCCCCATTGTACAAGTACAACGCTGCATCCAAAGGGTAGCTGCGGAGCAACATCAGCATCCTCTGGTTCTCCACTGGGATGCTGAACAGCACGTGAGTGAGCAAACTGCGCTTCCTGAGACTCGTATACATCTACTCGCGAGTGTCCGACTGCGGGGAAGAGCGTCGGGCTTAAGTGTGGAGGTGAAGAAGTTGAAGCAGAGATTAACAGGCGAACACAGGTGTCACTTACAGCTTTACCATCTACTGTGTTTAGCTGACAATGTCCCAGTGACACACAGGATCAACCTGGTTTGGAACAGATCTTAAAGAAAATAAAAGCACAGCAAATAAAAGCTTCAAACTGACGATGTGCATCTTGTAAGGCAGCATGCTGAGTGTACATCGGTCTGTGGGTTCATGTGATCGGCGTGATCCAAAAGGAAGTCAGTGACTCGGGACAGGATTTGTTTACTTTATGTAGCCACGATGTGAAAAACAAAAACAAAAAAACAGCAAAGATTCACGCCGACTTTAATCTGGAAGAAGCCTGCATAATTCTACATGCTGCATTAAGTGATTTTTTTAATAGCTAGAGGGCAAAAATATATATCAACTCAATGAATCAGAGCACAGATTCTATTGATTTTAGCTCTGTCAGTAGTTTATTCATCTTGCAGATGTATACTAAGCAGCGAAGGCCTTTACTTGGATTGGTAAATTTGAGCAACAAGAGTCCAATTTTTATTCGTCTCGTAGCCCAGATATGGTCTGCTGCTACCAATCACTGTGACAATAGGTGGTTGGTGTAGGCATCATTTATGTAAAGGTCATAAAAATACAAACATAAAAGATATATGATGTTGCAGAACTGATAAATATCTGTAGTCAGTTTTCCACATGAAAGTCTAGCTCACAATTGAACATGAGGTTGCTGTCTGGGCAGAATACATGATGCCTGCTGACTTGTGGTGAACTGACCCAAAAAAAATGACCTGCACTGTTCTTACACTGGGAGCAATAATACGTTACATGGATTTTGTACTAGGAAGCTGGCATTTAAAGGCTGCTTTGTGTGCCATCAACCTTCCTGGGAACTGGCATTACTAAGTAGAGGTTTGCAAGGTAACATAGAACAAAATTGGCAGCTGGGGTACATGTATGCTAAAATTACTTAGTAGTGTGTTTATATATAAAAAGATCACTTAATACAAGTTCAGGTTTGTGGTAGCTACTGCCTGAATTGAATGACACAAAGACCAGCTGATTGCATTTGAAAGTTAGGTAAGGGTGACTAATTAAAGGACAAAGAAAGCCATAATAAACTTTTTTTTATGATCACATATGTCTAGAACAGCTTCAGTGCACCTGGGCAGAATTCTCCAAGGTATTTGCTCCCTTGGTTATTTGAAAATGGTGAAATCTCCTATATACATGTTCAGAAAATTTCAGGCATGGTGATTGTGAAGGTCACGGAATAGGATTCTGATCATTTTCATAACAAATTAATTCAGTGCTCTACAATGGAGGCACTCATGCCAGAAGAGTACGCTCCCATCAGAGAAATGGTTCATCACAAGATAAAGGTGACATCTTTGCACTTGTTCTCCCTGACCTTTTCTTCTAATCAGACAACTGCACCCAAACCATGTCAGCCAGATGTAACAGAGCCAACACTGTCCTCGCTGTAACCGTCAGTGGGACAGATTCGATTCTATTCTATTGCTGACTGTGGCACAAACTTAAAGACAGGATTTTCCTTCATACTGTGTCTTCCTGCCAGGGGATATAACGGACTTTCAGTAACCAATGGGCTTCAATCACTATGCAAAATCAACAAAAAAAAAAACAACAAAAAAAACAACAAAAAGTGGCAGAGGGAGTGCCACCACTGTGCTGTGTTTAAAAAAGAAAATCATTACAGCAGAGGCAGTCTAACAGGGGAAGCTTAAGAGTATCAAGATCAGGTTAAAGGTTCAGTGTGGGGACACTGATGTTCGGGTTTATAACAGGTAGGTAACGAGTTCAGGCAGAGGCAGAATATTCCACACGGGGAAAGAAAAAGTCCCTCTGCCTTCCACTGATGTTGATGATGATTATGAAGATGAAAGCAAGGACAGGGATCCACATTTCATAGGGAAAAAAGACAAATCATGGAGGTTAGGTGCACGTGGAGGAAAACCTAAAGCATGAGGATCCAGCACTCTATCCAAAACTTTGTTTCTCCTGTCAGTTCTGAAGAAGTTCCTCATCAGTCTGTGAGTAAATATTCCAGGAGCAAGCTTTTAGACAGTGTGCTGCTTACTTACAACTACACAAAAAATAATTCCAACTTACCAAGTAGACTACTAAAACCCTTCCAAGATTTAGCAAAAGTCGTATTGCTTTCTAAATGCACAATTCCACTGCTGTAGAAAATCCGCTAACTGATCAAACTCGCCAAATCTGATGTGTCCTTGCAGCAAAAAAATTTCTAATAAAAACAAAAAATTTTAAAGAAAAAAAAACAAACAAGAGAAAAAGAAAAGTTTTATTCATTATCGTGCAGCTCTAATGTAGAGGCAGGATACTCCTCTAGTGACTTGTGGACTTGCAGATGAGACCTTGATGGAGGCGGGGTGGAGGGAAAGGTTTCAAGGAGGCTGACTCAGTGAGACTCTCCGTTGACCGAGCTCCCCTCTCCTCTGGGTGAGGAAGAGCGGGAAAGGCCCTTCTCTGTGTTTTCTGAGCTAGAGCCGTTCTGGCTGTGGTGGTCGGCCGATGACACGGAGCTGGAGGAAGTGGCCGAGGTGGCTGAGGGCTTGGCCTTCTCCTTAAAGTCCGTTATGATGACTGTCAGGTCCCCAACCGTCACCTCCAAGTGCTGGGCGCTGCTGCGATCGATGTTTTTTAGTCTTGGCCTGATGAGTGAGTGGAAAAGACCATTAAGCATACAAGGCTATTTTTAAAAATCCTGCATAAAGAGAGTCTTCCTGGTGCTGCTTTGAAATATACTCCTGGTGTCTCCCACTTCCCACTTCCTGAAATTCTTTATGAAACATGACAGCCTAACTCCAGGTGGCAACATAAACAGTTTTTGCACTTTTCCATGTTTATTCATGAATCCCTCTAATATCTGACTCCGCCAACCTGGCATCAGCTCGCTTACCTCATCTTCTTGTGGCTGTTCTTCTTAAGCGGCGGCTCTCTGTCGCTCTTCTCCTTCTCGACTCTCTCCTTCTTTTCCTTTTTGGGCTGTGAGGGCAGCACAAACTGCTGCGTTACCTGCTGCTGAGAAACTAGCTGGGATACGGGACGTGGCTTCCTGATCCAGGAGGGAGGAGTGTTGAAAAGGGGATGAAGGGAGAAAGACAGAGAGGGAGAGACAAAGGGAGAGACGGAGAGCGGCAGATTAATGAGAGGGAAAAGCACAATGAACACATGGCTTTGTGCTAGCCTACCACTATAATCAAGAGCCAATGATCACTGCCAGTGCTGGTTAGGATGGTGCTGCTCAAGTGCTCTTAACACTGGCAACACACGCTGAGTGCATTTAAAATAAAACCCGGAGTTCAGCCATCTGTGAGATGTGGAGTGTACCTGTGCAGGCTTGTTTTTAGCACTCACAAGACAAGATCAGTTGTGGTAAATACACAGGTGCAGTAGGAATTAGAAGTGTGCAAAACATACTGAATATAAAATATTTAGCAGATTAATCATCTGCGGAAATAATAGTTAGTTGCAGTGACATTCAAAAGTAAGCCTAACTGACTACAACATGGTAAATGGTCTGTATTTGTATAGCGCTTTACTTAGTCCCTAAGGATCCCAAAGCGCTTTACACTACATTCAGTCATCCACCCATTCACACACTGGTGATGGCAAGCTACATTGTAGCCACAGCTACAATGTAAAATCCTGCTTTGATATTAATGGGTGTGTTCGCCACACATTCTTTACTCAGGTAGGCGTCTGTAAGACAGAATGACACCGTCCATGATCCCCCCGCTCTTATGTTGAACATGCAGTCATTGTTAACCAGTAATCGCTTTAAATGCTTTATGTACACTGCAGTGATGATACTTGTCTGTGCACGGCATTAGCTGCGATGATGTGAATACGCCCTCCATGTCTGCTCAAGTACAATTATGCTTTTCATTGTGGCCTTTCAAGAACTGGGCACCATTTTTTGGGACTTAAAATAGAATAACTTAACTGTAGTTTGTTCTCGATGCAAAGCAAGTGCCGAGTTGTTGATGTGAGGGGACGTTCCTGAGAAGCATGGATAATATACCTTCACACACAGGTTCCACAAATCGCTGAAGACAGAGCCAATGTGATATTAAATGGTCCTCCTCACATTCATACCTCCATCTTTCATGAGGGTGTAATGTCTCAGAAATAATGTATTATGCAACTGGTTGGCTACAGGAGCATGCATTAGGACTGTGATCGTATTTCTGAGCAGGACTTTGTATGTGTGTGTATTTTGGAGCTTGCCAAGAGCCCTAGCCTGAGAGGGAAGTGTGCTGAAAAGGCCATCTGTTGGGGCGGTCTACACATCTAGTGCCTTTATTAATTGCATGCACACACAAATGAATTACATACAGTATGAATGCATGCATGTCCATATACTACACTGCATGTTGTTTAGAAAACAAAAGCGATTCTAGAAGAAAATGTATGTTTGCTTTTATATACAGTGCAACAGCATCCAGTGATGTACATTAAAGCATAGCATGTATAATTATATTTTTAACATTAAACCCTAAGCAGAACAATAGCTACAGATTGGTAACATGCAATATTTGTCATAATGACTGATGCTGGCTTATTGGACTATATGATGTCAAGTGTGTCAGTGGTTGAGGTTTCATTTATTCAATTTTGCACAGGTTAATTGTGTCACAAAGAGCTTAAAAAAAGCTCCAGTTACTGTTTCATTTGAAGATATTTTGTTGTGTCTATGAATGCTTCTGAAATAAAGTAGATTTGGTAGAATTTATCATGAGTCACAATGATTAGCTCCGGTGGCTGTGTCAGAGCCAGCACGTGATGTTGCCTGTAGTATTTCAGGGGTGACTTGTCAGTGCCGCTGCTCCCCTGCATTGCTGTGGGCCGTTTCATCACCTTCACAGCATTCACCTACAGGCTCCAGGGGGTATTTACTTATTGCTCTCCGATTCTATATGTCACAGATTTGTGGTTAGTAGCACTGGAAAGTTGAAAATGCTGATTACCTTATGGTATTTTTCTCATGTGGACTAACCTGTGCCTTATTACATTTAAGATGTGCTGCAATTACAAAATATTAGCTTCATGAAATTTCATTTTAAAAAAAGAAAAGAAAAACAAAGAATTCCATTAGAACTTCTAATACAACTTTACAGTGTCTTTCAAGTGTATGACACCTGATCCCAGATTAGTTTGACCACTGTGACTTGTTGTGCAAAAAATAGTTGCACATTTTTTCCAAAGTGAGCCCTGGTGGCCCATTTAGCCTCAGTTAAAGGTTTTTCTACCTCAAATTCCACAAGGATATACATACACAGAAGCTCCTGTCTTTTTCTGAGGGCAAAGATGTTGTTGAGCAATTCTGGGATGACCTAAATTGGGGCCAAGCTTCAAAGACTCTCTCCCACAGACATTTTTTTTTAAACTTAGCTTTCACTGCCTTCACATAACTTGCAGTGATGCTAGCAAGTCTAAAGTAAAATGCAAATGGGTCTCTTGGCCTACATAACTGTCTAATAGGGAGGAGATGTAGAGATTCTCTAATATGTCTGTCTTGTCAGCAAGATGCTGCAGAAGTGCTGACTCCTTTTTAAATAAAGACAAAGGCCTCTCAGAGTCCTCTGTTCCTAGTTCGAGTAATTTGCTGCTCTCCTTGACATCTTTTTGTTTAATAGTCCTACAGCAACTAAACAGCATCTGGTGGTCTGAATGTACACACATACACACAAAACAGCAACGGTCACAAAAGGATCAGCTCTCCCGCCCTCAGGACAAACGTTATCAGCTTCCAGAACTAAAAACTCATCTGGCTGCGTCATTCATAACATCCTTAGGCTTTTGTTTGATGAATTTAGTTTAGAACGTCATTGTGCACTTTGTGTGATTTACTGTATGCAAGTAATTAATTCCTCCTCTCATTAATGCAGTGAGTGAGTGATGGTTTTGCTTGAAATGTAATCTCCCCTCAGCCTAAAATGTTTTAGATTGAAAGCCTGGATGTGCCAGAGAGCAAGTGAGGCCACGTCTAAATACATACAGCCAACCTCCCTCCATGTATTACAGTGGAGTTGATTCTCACTAATAGAACCAGCTCAATAACCAGGAGGTGAAAGAGGAGATAGACAACCCAATATTATGGGGAGGCAAAGCGGCAGGTCTAAACAGAGCTGCCTCTGTTAACCCAATCAAATGGTGTTTATCTCTGCACTTAGGCCCTCACTGCTAGCCTCCCTTTGGGCACCGAGTGTGGGTTTGTGTATGTATGTGTATTGATTCCAAAATAATTTCTGTCCCGAACGTAACGGTCTATTCTTTCAGACATTAATACTGCGTGTTGGAACCTCTGTTCCTGTCGATATCTGCTTCACTCATTCTGCTACAGCTAATGGAGTCCCACAATGGGAAATTAGGACATTACAGGGGGAGGCTTAAACATAGCAAATTGTATTTCCTTCAAAGAGGAGAGTACAGCAAACACACAAAGCCTTGGTTTCAATTCACAGAAAGTGATCAGCCAGTTTATTGTTACATTTATTATCTTTGCCTTCACTTGTTCTTTTTCACAGGTTCTCCTTCTGCAATGTTTTATTTGTAGAACATGAGTGCAACACTATGTTAAACAAATGACCAATAGGGGGTCAACTTGAACTAATACTATTACTAATAACTAATAATAATATTTTATACTCAGATAAGCAATGATTAAAAACAGTTCCAAACCTAATTTGTTCCTACTTTACTGGTTGGTACTTATTAGCATGTATGTGGGATTCACAATTAAAATTTATAGACATAGCCTTCTAACCTAGCTTTCTAAGGCCTCGGTCATCCTGTCCTATAGTGGGCTAGAGTCAGCAACCCCCTGACCAGCAAGTGCTGGTTGCTAAGGAAAATGTATATTCCACAACTAGTTAACGAGTGGCTGCTGACTGACACTGGGTGAAAACAGATTACTGTGGTATGCAAACACTGAAACTTGAAAAAGCGCATCACAAAACAGAAATGTGTAACATTAATTTTCCTTCGAGGAATAACTTGGTCATTACTATTGCAACCAACATGTTTCAAAAGGCACAAGTTTTCCCTTAAAGGTTCCCGTTTCCAGTTTGCATTGCACTTTACTTGGTAAGTAGTTGGCGAGTGTTTGCAGACAAGTCGGCATCTTCGATACAAACTATGGAAAACCGTGGCAACCTGCTAACAACCGAAGCAATCACAACGAGGTCTTTGTAACCAATTTCAAAACCTAAAGAAACCACTTGCCAAACGGTCCCATAATACACACTTTTCTCTAGTGATAGTTTCCAGGGGGGTCACTGACTGGTTTCCAAGCCTGTGTGACTGGAGCTTTAGTAATCGATTTAACACCGGCTAGGAGCAATGTCCAACAACACTCACAAGTAGTCCAGGAATACACATTTTTCCCCTCACGACTGGTGACTGACAGATGGTTCCTAAGCGGTCTCTACGTCTGTGTGACTAAGGCCTTATTCAATCACAGCCAGGAAAGTCTGAAACTTCAAGAAGCCAAGTTTCCTTGAGAAAGACTTTGAATCTTCCAGTTAACAAAATCATTCTTTTGACAGCCAAGAAGGCTAGTCCTGCCATCTTTATGTCCTTTTTCAGTGTAACTGTGCAGTCTTTACTAACACTAACACAATAACAACAACAGGACAAAAGAGAGAGAGATGTATAGTCATCCATTCTGTAAGTCGATAAAACATTTCTGGGCAAAAGGACTTGACTTCACGGCGATGTCACAGCACACAATCCACAACAATGCCAGCACAGATCTGAAAAGCTTTTTTTTTTTTTGTAAGGGTAACACAAGTTCTAACTTTTTCAACTCGTTAAGGCGGTTTTAAAATAAAAAAAGAAAGAAATATCTGCAGATGAATGTACTGTATTGTAGTTTATGTTGTTGTGTTTCTTGTTGATACAGATGTTCTTTTTCTTTTTTGGCCTCTCTTGTGTGAAACAAAATAAACACAAACCTCGCTCTCAATCTCACAACCTTAAAGTTTAATCGTGAATTGAAGGCAAAGTTAGTTTATTCTGCAGAAACTGAGCTGAAAAAAAAATGTTGCCACT